AGTGCGGCCACAGCTTCTGCCGAGCCTGCCTGACCCGCAGCTTGGGGGAGTCGCGGACCGCCGAGGCTGGGAGGAAGAAGAGCCTTTGCTGTTTGCAGCCATCCAGGCGGGAGCAGAAAGGTAGCCCTTCAAGGAGTGAGGCCGGCTCCCCCTCCTCCTCCTCCTCCCCCTCCCGGGCTTGCGGAGCCCGCCCTCTCCTCGCCAGGCACACCGGCTGCTGCACGTGGGAACTGGGGCCAAACTCTCCCGGCAGGCTGCTCAGTCCCCGCCCCCAGCAAAGCGCGGGGATTACAAGGTCCGGCATCCTCTGCGGCAGCAGCCCCCTGGCGCTCTCTCTCCCTCCCTCCCCCCGCCGACAGAGGGGACCAGGAGGAGGAGGTGCTGAGCTGGCTGGACGAGCACAGCCAGGGCGACCGCCCCCAAACTGGCAAAAAAAAAAAGTTTTTAAAAAAAGTTTAAAAAAACCTTCCGCTTTCAAACCGGGAAGAGGGATGGGTTTTGTTTTTGCAAGCATCACAAGCCCCGGGGGAGGCTGAGACTCCCCCGGAAAATTTCGGAGGTAGCCCCCGCCCCTGCGCCCCCCTGAACTCTACGCCTATGATCCTTCCAAACTGAGCACAGTGTTCTAGGTAAGGTTTTACCAAAGCAGTGTACAGTGGCACTGATATATGACAAAAGGCCTACTACAGGCACCATTTCTCATCAGGGACTTTTGGGTTTAGAGGCCTGTTCCCCGCAATGGCTGTCTTTTGGGTCTGGGACTTGCCACTCTGTCTTTTCCAGGGTCTCCCTCCTTCCAGGCCCAGCAATCCAGCCGTCTCTTGCATCCACTGTTTCTGAGCAGGTGTCACTTTGGGATGCTCTCTCTCTCTCTCTGATCCAACCCTTTTCCCTCTGAGTCCCTGCTCTCTCACTTTCAGGCCCAGTTGCCAACTGACCCTCAAGCTGTTGCTTAGCAACCAGGAGCCTGTGGCAGCCTGCTGCCATTGTTACGCAAGAAACAGCTGGCTGTCCAGTCAGCACTAACTGGTCAGTCACATGTTTCTGACTCCCTCCCCCCATGCCCTTTACAGAAATAATCTGCAGGAAATGAGCCAATGAAATGCAACGGAGGTATTACTGTGCTTGGCTTGCTCCCCTTTCTAATCTTCTGAACAAGCCAGTGTCTTGAAAAACTTGCTTTGTTCCAAGGAAATAGTTAATAATTTAACCTTATCTTAAATTGTGGTGATCTTTACTGCCACTGTGTGCCTGCACAGAAGACCACTTGAGGAACAGAAGTTACAGTTAAGTGCAACCCTTTGTTTTACGCTGCTCTGCTTTAGCAATGATCCTAATTCCTCCCAATTAAACTCCTTCCAAAAACGTCGGAGAGAAATGAAAAGATCAGTTCTATGATGGGGATTGTTAAAGAACATGGGTGATCTCAACCAGAGCAAGCACCAGGGAGTGCCTTGAATGTGGAAGCCTTTGGGGGACAACATGACAGCAAACCTATCTCTGCTCTTGAAATCCTTCACTTTTCATGTTTGTTACTCAAAACTCCAAGGCTTGTGCCCAGTTATTTGAAGTCAGGTCTGGAGTGAAAGACAATAGAAAAAGTTGTCTGTTCATCTACCATGTATACCTTAAAAATGGCTGGGAGGGATGTGTTGAGAATAGATTAGGTGGGAGGGACCAAGGCTCAGTGGTAGAACACCTGCTTCTCATGCAGAAAGTCCCAAATTCAATCCTCGGCATCTCAAGTTAAAAAGAACCAGGCAGCAGGCAATGTGAATAGACCTCTACCTGAGATCCAGGAGAGCCACTGTCAGTCAGAGTAGACAATTGATCTTGACAGGCTGATGGTCTCACGCTGTGTAAGACAGCTTCATGTGCTTTCTGGCAACTAATAACAAAGATAAGAGCTAGGCCAGGCTTTCTTCTGGTTGGTTTGAAACTATTGTTTCAGGTCTTAAATATGTTCAACCCAGCACTGCTTGGGTCTAAAGGCTGCCATGAAGAACGCTCAATGCATTATTGCGGCAAATAAGCATTACCTCTATAAGTATTAAAAGGATTCCATTTTAATATAAAAAGTTTATCACAAAGCTTTCATAAAGGAGAATATCATGAATTCAGCCACTTTAACATATTGTAGCTTTAGGGATTTTATAGTAAATATATTCACAGTTTTACAAAGGAATTCTCAAGAGTTTGGTGAGAGGCAGGGGGAAATTAAACATTCATGACCGGAGTCAGCTGAAGCAAGGAATTTCGCGTGAGACCCCTGCCACTCTGTATCGTCTTCTCTATGCCTTCCAAGTTCATCAAGAAGCTTCTTCTCTTTTTCAGTCCTTCCAAGATGGCAGAATTAGCAGATGCTAGACTTTGTGTTCTGGAAATAATAATTTGGTAAAAGAGAAGATTCATTAAGAAATCAGTTTTTTCACATTCGGCAACTCAAAATTATTCTTTTCCCTAAAAGTTAGGCTTTCGAGCAAGGGAAACCTAAAAGTTAGCTAGAAGCACTTTCCAAAGAAAGAGCAGCTAGCTCAACAAAGTAGCTCTTACTTTGTCAACAGCTGAAGAGTATTATGCGAACTCAAGCATTTATTTCACTTTTGACGGTGCATCCCTTTCAGACAGAAGCGTATAAATTCTTCGATTTTAAATAAAACAGGAGTCTGCTTAAAGCCTTACAAAATGGATCCCAGTATAAGATTTCATGAGTCAGCAGTAGCAACTGCGGAACCAGTCTTTCGAGCACCACGGGACCCTTGTTTTATTTTGCTGTTATGGACTATCATGGCTACCTGACTTCAACGATCTTCTGTTTTCATTTCAGCCGATTCTTGGACAATACAAATGATGCAACTGCCCCCCTCCCAAGCATACCCCTACAGCTTGAGAACCCACAGGACTATTCTAGACTCTGTGGCTGAGCTTCTGGCACCCTTGGTCAAATGATAATGCACCTCCATGACTGTGCAAGAGGCCCAGCCGCTCTTGTACACAGTGGCCCTTTGGCATCCGGCTTGCCTGACCCTCCGTGGCTTGTGGGACCTGCCAGGCCTCCTACCCCGCCCATTTCCCACAACTATTTCCTTGCCCTGCTCCTGCCCATCTACAGTTCTCAGCAGACCCTGCCTGCCTCAGCCGAAAAGACTGAGGTTCCTCACCCACCTCTGCTTCTCACTCCTGTACCTCTTTGTCCGTCCCCACTTACTGGACTGATTTTCCTTGGCCCTTCTCTCATGTCTGACACCATTTTGTCCTTAAAGGACTGAACGTTTTGTCACCATGACCAGACAAGTATTGCCGTCTGGATTTCTTGCATCATACCTGGTTACAAAAGAAACCCTGAACTCTACCCAACCTATCCATTTGACCAAGGTGGGAGCCAGAGAAGTTTCTGTATAAAGTATGCCACATTGTCTGCTTTTCTTATATGGACCCTGTACAAATGTTGGGGTGTTTCTTTTGTTCTTTTGTCTTTTTCAGCATAAAAAGATTTCAGGTTATAAACCGTACTTTTTTTGTATCACACTAGAGAATGTTAGGTTCCCTATGCCATGCTCAGGGTGTGCCTTAAATCATTTCAATAATTTTTTTCTCAATTATTATTCTGCATGGTCATTGTAACTGACATATTTAGGTTACTGTATCTGTTTTAACTTTTTACTAGAACCCCGATGAATTAAGCAAAACAAATTGGAATCCAAAAGATCTAATAAGATGCTCCTAACCTTGCTCCTTGCTCTTTTTTCCTCCCCCTCTGACTGGCAGCGGTTCCCCAGGATCTTCGGCAGAGGTCCTAAATATCACCCACCACCACCCAATCCTTTTAACTGGAGAGGCCAGGTGGGTTGAACTGAGGATCTTTTGCATGCCAAGCAGATGTTTCAAGCCCTAAACCACAGCCCCTCCCCCAAAGCCACAACGTCACTGGACAGGAAGGATTTGTTTCATTCACACCCCTTTAAAACACGTTGCCCCGTGGAGTCACCGAGACCTCTCTAGTGGTTACTCCTTTAGGTTCTTCACACCATACTAGATTTCCTACAACATCCTTTTTACCTTTCTAATTTAGAATCTGAGAGGCAATATCAGCCTAAATCTCACTCATTAATGTATGGTGCAAAAGGCATGAGCATTAGGTATCTGAGTTTTGGGGTTTTTTTGTAGATTTAGTTGTGCAGTTATGACAGCAGAGCATATTTTTGCCCTTATCCTTCACAAAAACAGTGTTAAAGCAATGCGGGCGTATCATTTATACAGTCACTAAGAACTCGCAGATCAAGTGCATTCCAAAGGGAAAATAAAAGCCAATGCAATGCAGCGATTAAAATGTGGAATTCACTGCCAGAGGATCTAGTGATGGCCATAGGTATAGATGGATTTAAAAGGAGAGTAGAGATTCATGGCTGGAAGGGGCAATGGCTCAGTGGCAGAGTATCTAGGCATGCAGGAAGTCCCAGGTTTAATCCCAAGCAGCTTCCGTTTAAAAGACCAGGCAGCAGGTGATATGAAAGTTGTCTGCCTGAGTCTCTGGAGAGATTCTATCGGTCTGAGTAGACAATCCTGACTTTGATGGACCAGTATAAGGCAGCTTCATATATACTTCATGTGTAAAGACGCATCGGTGGCTATTAGCCATGGTGACTAAAGGGAACCTCCACATTCAGAGGCAGCACACCTCTGAATACCAGTGCCAGGAGGCAACATCAGAGGAAGGCCTTGTCCCCTATATCCTGTTTATTGGTCCTCCAGGGCAGCTGATTGGCCACTGTGCGAGTCAGAATGCTGGACTAGATGAACCACGGGTCTGATCCTGCAGGATTCTTTTGTTATATTCTTAGATTAATACAGGGTTGTGCTTTGGCTCAGATGCACTCCTGAGAGGTGCTAGATACAGGAGAAACCATCATTAAGCACTGCTTCAGTGCTGCATTAAACAATGACTTGGTCTGTGGGGGGGGGGAGACGCCACTAACACGTGCTCTTACCTTGGAGAATCTATTCCACTGTCTCCTGTGATGCTGTGGCTTCCTATCCCTTCCAAGTGGTTTTGTTCATGCTGGGGACACTGATCGGCAGCGCTAGACACATCATCAAACGTCTGTGGCTTTTCCATGATCCTTGTCTTAACTTCTCTGCCTTTTGATGGCAGAGCCAAGGATGCCAATCTCTTGTCCACTTCATTTACAGACTCCTGCCAAGTTCTGGCCTCTGAATCACAGCAATGAAACACGCAAGTATCAACAGTATCCAGTGCTTGCCCACGTCCACCAAGAGCCACGATCTCTTCATCACTTTTGTAAACACACGGAGATATTTGGCGGCAGACGCAACTCTCTCCTTCGGTGCTGACTTTCTGATACTCTTTGTGGCTGCTGTTTGATCTAGTAATGCTAAAAAACCCATTCCCTTCATGCCCCCAAGAATCAACCCGGTCTATATCTGTTCCATGCCCTGGGAAGTGAGAACTGATACTACTGCTTCCTGACATGCCAGTGCCCAGTTTGTGTTCTGTGTTATTTCGCCTCCCTGTGTCTGAAGAACTGTACGGAGGTTGGTTGGATGGCAGCTCAGGTGCTTCCGCACACAGTTGCTCTTTGCCACCATGACCCAGTGAACCACAAGCATCAGCATCCTCCCCTTTGGGGTATGGAGCTGGCTTGTCGTAGGAGCATCGTTTGCATTGTGGGTTCACAGACTCAAGCCATTTGCTAGTGTCGCTTGATTGCAGCTCCATCTTTAAATCCCCATTAGGTCTCTGTGTGGCAGCATTTTCAGACTGCTTCGATTGGTGAGTAGCCTCTGTATCACTGGGGAAACATGCACTTTTTAACTGACCTAAATCCTGATCCTTTAAGCCATACAGGCCAGCTTCGCCCCAGTGGTGAACATGACTGGAAGCTTGTGGATACCTCATTTCCGATCCATCCAAGAGTACAGTGTAAGTTTCTGGAGTTGCTTGGTTCTCCACCATACTTTTGGGGCTTGCTCCTCGACGCGCATCATGTTTATAAGCTATACTTTCTTCCAAAGATCCATATTTGCCATCTCTTTGTAAAGCTTGGTACTGTGAGTGTTCAGCACAGCAGCCTGAGACGTGACGGTGACTAGAACAGTCTGTGGCCAGATGTTTTTTCCGGTCATCTTTGTCACCACATTTGATAGCAGACTGCTGTTTTGTTTTATAGTCCACAGTATCCAAAGAGTCGGACCGTAGAAACCTCTTCTCTGATCTAGGAACTGTGGATTTTACATAGTCATGTTTCTGACGTCTATGTCCTTTTGTGGATTTATTCCCTCTACACAGAATATCTTGAAAGGGGTTAGTAATTTCCTTCTTGTATACAAGGCATGGTTCAGCCTCTATTGCATTCTCACACAGCTGTTTATCACAAAGCAGAGATCCACTTGTCATACAGGAGAATGGATGTTCTGCACAGTTTCCCAGTTTGTTGTTAGCTGGTATGAGGTCGTCTGTTTTAAAGCCTCTTGGTGGTTTGCTGATCTGTTTCTCTTTGCCAGACTGCACTTTCCTGCGATGCTTTACAGCCCTGCTATGTTTTTTCCTCCCACACCCTTTGGGAAGATATTTGTGCTTCACAGTCAACACTTCTGTTGAGGTTCCTTTATTGATATATTTTTTCTCTTCCTCAATTTTCCGCATCAGCGCTGTGTGCTTAATTAAGTTGTCTACCGTCAGCACAGGGTTGATGCGTTTGATAATTTCATGCTCAATATCACGAGGGATATTATCCAAACTGTCTTCATCCCTGACTGGCCATTCTTCTGGAGGAAACTGGGCAGAAAACGAGGAATATGCTTTCTTGGGTTTTTCTTTTTTAGAAGTGTTGCGCCAGAAAAGGCTCAGTCCAAATTTTTTACCCTTCTCTTTTTCCTTCACAGAATGTGAGGAGCGAGCAGTTTCACAAGAATGGCGGCCAGGGAGTGTATCGGTGGCTGGATTCTGAACCGAGAACCTGGATTCACAAGACCCTTTTTGACTTTTCCCATTAAGTTCATGATTTGAGAGCTGCTGAGGTTCACTTCCCGCAGTATGGTCAGGGAAACAATGACAGGACCTGCAGTGGAAGCCAATAGGGAAATCCTCTTTCATCGGCTCTGTAGAGTCCTCCATGCTTACCAGGTACGTGACGGATGGCTCCCGAGGGCCAATATCTTCTAAAAGGACCCTCTTGTTATTCTTCACAGCATTGTTAGAGATAAAATAGGTGTTTGGGGTCACTATGAAGTATCCTTCCCCAGTATGATAGATCTTCCGTTCTTTAATTAGCATTCCAAGGGTATTGTATAAAATATCATGTGTGGGAGCTGCAATGCCTAGAACAGTAAAGATGAACATATGTTAACATTGGCAGCAGTTGTAGTAGTAGTAGTACTTCCAGAATATATTCAGTAAGCAAAATACTTTGGAATCTTTATTCAGGCAGAGAAACCATTTACAAAAGCCAGTGAAGAGCTTTACTAATGAGACAGAGGCCAACACAGGAGGCCGGATCAGCAAGCTGGTGGCTGAGTGAAGGTTCAAACTGTAATGTCACCACACCAGTGTCTGCGCAGCCGCCCTTGTTCCCGCCTTGTGTAAACAGCCCCCCAGCAGGCAAGGGAGTCTGAGTCCTGCTCAGAAGCCAGGAGGAAAGATGTTTTTGCCGTGGGAAACCCACTTTTTCCAGCAGGGATCCCCTGTAGCTCTTCAACTATGTCTCTCAAGAGCTTTTGGCTTTCCCTCCAATGGCCGCCACTACTTCCTCGGCTTTTTACTCCCTTTCCAGCTTGATGCCAGGAGGAGCATCAAACAGGGGTGTTTCGGTAATGCCGGCCACAGCAAGGCTGTGCAGGTGGGGAATCTTAAACAAATGCAAGCTCTTTTCTATGAGCACGTCTCTAGTGTGTACAGGCTACAGACATTATGGTGCAGATACTAACAAAGAAAATGAAACACAGGAAGATTTCTATAACTTCACTTGGAAACTACAGTACCTGGCATCTGGCTCTTCTCCTCGCCCTCCTCCCCCCCCCCCCCCCGGAAGGTGCAAATGTATCTGTTTACTTCATTTATACCCCCCTCAACGGGGATCCAGTGTGGCTTCTGCTGTTCTCCTCTCCTCCATTTTATCCTCACAACAGCCCTGTGAGGTAGGTTAGGCTGAGTGTGTATGACTGACCCAGAGTCACCCAGCAAGCTTCCATGGCAGAGGGTTAGGGTTCAGACCTGGGTCTCCAAGATTCTAATCTGGATGCTCTCTGGCTGTCATTCACATAAACACCCTCCCCTCCCCTTGTCTCAAACACACACACACATATTGGAGAGCTTATTTTCAACTCTCTCCCCCTGCATGTGTACAGAAAGGACCCAGTCAATCTGGGTTCTGACTGCATGGCCCTGCCAGAATTCATCAGCCAATAGAAAGGTGTTTGGGTATCAGAGGGATTTCTTATCTTCCCCATAGGATGTGAAAACATCTAGCTCTGAGAGAAAAATGAAAGTTTCCCAGCCTGCCTGTCGCTACCAACACCGACCACCTTCATATAAATGTCACCAGCTGAAATCTATGTAAATAAACAGTGTGGCCTGTTTTTCAATCTATGCTGTTTTAATTGTTCTCTAAATTATATTGATATGTATGCATTTTTAATTATACGTTTTAGATTTTGCTCTGTGATCTGCCCTGAGCCTGCTTGCTGGGACGGCAGAATATAAATTGAAATAAACAAATAAATACATTTCTTCCTAGGGTGAAAGGCCTCCTCCTGCTCTCAGTCCACAAACAAGAACTTCCAAATGAAAGCACCCAAATGAAGATCTGTGTCCTCTCAATCATTTCTCCGGGTTTTTATACGCATTTGGAATAGCTAGAATCTTACACAGCATCTGGAGAGCTCTACTTCATAAATGACAACACTTTGGCCCCCACAATGGTCTTCTATGACCCTCAAATTTGATTGTTAGTAGACCCCCTGGAACACCACAGGACTCGAAGCAGGGGCTGGAGTGAAAGGGGAGAACTGGCAAGAATCTTCCCAAGTAGAAGTACAGCATAAGCAGAAGGCAAATTTAGGATCTACTCCCAAATATATGTTATGAAATAGCTGCTAAAGAATAACATGTATAGCTAGAAACTGGAGATGTGAGCAACACACTTTTATCGAAAGATACCACTGATTGGAGAAAAAGGCTTCCCCGTGTGGAACCTACTGCCCATACCAACTGCTTCATTATAAAGCTAGTCCTGAACACGGAGACACCAAACCACACATGTTCAGGATTCTTAGATCAGTATATTTCAATGGATTCCAAGCTTCTGGTTCCAAGCAAGCGCTTTCTTTTAATGCAAAAAGAAGGATGCCTTCTTCCAAGTCACACACTAGGGGGCAGCAGATACACATCTAAGGGGCTGAAGTCGTTACTTCCATATGGGAGGCCTTCTGTAGTCTATGGTATGCTGACCTTTCACACCCACAGGGGCTGTGGTGATATCCTTGGAAACTTCAGATATCCCACAGTCTGAAGACCATGGAGAGATGCACTGAAGCAAGCCAAGCTGGCAACTTGAGCTTAATGGTGAAACAAGATGCATCACAGCGTGACTGAATAGTAAGTGTTAGAAATTAGCTATTAGTCCTACCACCAAACTTCCCCCATGAAAACTGACTGATTTTTTCCCCCAGTTTAAACAAAAGTGTACCTGAAGTTTTGGATCCGCTGCCCTGCAAAACAGAACAGAAAGACACCAGCTTCCTCAATATTCCAGCAAATATCACATCCTTGCCTTAGAGTAGCCCCATTAAGCTGGCCTTTCTCTCCTCATGCAGATGGGAAGCTGCAGCTCACTCTTAGGCAGCTCCCCAGTTCATGGCAGAGGCTAGATTTGAACTCAGCCTCTGCGTCCTTGTACTGCAATGGCTCCCCCTAGTATTTGCGAATGATGGACACAAGCAGAAGCCTGCAGGCCACGCCCAAGGAAGATCTCCTAAAGAGCACTTTTCCTTCTGTATAATTGGGAATACTTTTTAGAGAAAGTCTTTCTTCCCCAGATTCTGCCAGATTCCAGGAGACAAGAAAGACCCATTTGAAGATGTCACTAGTATATCCATAGCAGCAGAAGAGGACGAGAAGATTGGATTTATACCCTGCCCTTCACTCGGAGTCTCTGAGTGGCTTACAAACGCCTTTCCCTTCCCCTCCCCACAACAGACACCCTGTGAGGTAGGTGGGGCTGAGAGAGCTCTGAGGGAAACTGCTCTTTTTTCAAGAACAGCTCTGAGAGAACTAGGGCTTGCCCAAGGTCATCCAGCAGCTGCAAGTGGAGGAGTGGGGAATCAAACCCGGTTCTCCCAGATCAGAGTCCGCACACTTAACCACTACACCAAACTGGCTCTTTAATCCTGGCAACCTCCCATATCCTTAATGGGATCAGAGTTGGCCAAGCCAAAAACAAGTTTCCTTGCCTTTCTGGAAATGGTTGTGTGAAGGGCTGTCTGTAAAGGCAGAGGTGATATCTTTTGATCTGTAAAGAACTCATCATTATGATGGGCAGGGCCTGCTTAGAGGACGGGCTGTTACTGGGGAAACACACACACACACACACACCCGGTGAAGGGGGAGGAACTGTGCATTGCTGCCTTCTCTGTGTGCAAATGCAGGGCTCCTTTGGCCTGCTCTCATCGGGGAGGGCCTGCTCACCCAGTGTTAGGGGTAAGGTTACCAACCTTCATGTGGTGCCTGGAAATCTTCCAGGATCTACATACTGATCTCCAAACAACAGAGATCAGTTCCCCTGTGGAAAAGTCCGCTTTGGAGGGTGACCGTTACGGCATTATACTCCAGTGAGGTCCCCACCCCCACCCCAAACCTCACCCTCCCCAGGCTCCATCCCCAAACCTCCAGGGATTTCCCAATACAGATTTGGCAACCCTCGTCAGGGGAGAAGGGCAGGCCTGGGCCCACACTATAACAGGGCCTCCAGGGGAGTTGTTTCTTCTTCTGAAGAACGGAATGGTTCCCATTAATTTCTAAGGGGGAAAGTAATGGGGGCTGGACTGACCCCCCCTGCCCTGGTGACTCTGTCCGCTGAAAATCAAACCTGTGTCTTTCTGCATTGTCGGCCTCTCCAGTGATGCAGCCCCCTCCATCCTGGGTTCTGTTTCTTGGTAACCGGGGAGTGTGAGAGAATGCCTGGAGCCGGCTTTTGTTTACACAGGTAGTGGCATCTAGCCAGTGCACTGCAGTGGTCAGAACAAGAGACCAGAATCTGGGAGGGCCAGGTCTGAATCCTCGCTTTGCCATGGAAACTCACTGGGTGACCTTGGGCCAGTCACTCTCTCTCTCAGCATTGCTTACGTGCAGGAGGGGCTGAGGTAAGGATAAATTGGACGGTGTGAGGACAAATGTTGTCAGCCACTCTGGATCCCCACTGGGGAGAAAAGCTGGGTATAAATATCTAAAACCCAAACAAACATGGATGCTGTTGATAAGGTTTTTTAAAATTTTTCCTGAATACACTACGTCTAAAGATAACTTTATATTTTAGAGGTATATGCAGCAAATATGTGTTTTTAAGTGCTGACCTAGAAATGTAAAACATGATTATTTACTGTGACAAGATGTACACATATTGGACAGCTACTGATACCAGATTCTTTTTTCCTTATCCCAGTGTTTCTAGATAGTCACATTTTTTTAAAGTCTTCACCCCCCAACACACACGAATTTGACATCTGTTAACTAGTAAACCCTATTTGCAATGCAAAGCCCTGTGGAACATCAAGGGTCAAGCCAGATGTAAGGACAGGAAGTTTCTGCAGGTTTCCTGCTGCTTTTAAAACTTCTTAACTACAAAAAACTCCCAGATCATGTGTGGGTTTAAATCCAGCACCACCATGACACACACATGCAGATAGTAGTTATCTAATTCATCCCTTTGGGATGCTATATACAATACCGGGGGTAGGGGTATATAGGTACATAACAGACATCCTATGATGCCTGTACCATGTTTTTCTTGTACAGCAAACAGCAGCAGGGGGAGGTGCTTGAGTTCACAAATATGGCATGGGCAAGGGTAAAAAATCTCTCCCCCACTGGAATGGCAGGAGACCCAAAGAAAGTTGTTTGCCGTTTCAAAAACAGCAGGAGATCTATTCATCAGTCTCCTGTCACTACCTAGTTTGACCCCTTAGAGCCTCCACTTTATTTTGTCCTGTGGTAATGCAGAATGACTATCACCACTGCTTTCCGGTTCCCAGGTAACTCACGGCCTGTTGCTTTGCTGGCTGCCCAGCCCTCCGAGTCGAATACTTATTCTCAGGGGTCTTGTTGTAGAAAAAGAGCTGCCGGAGCTCATTAGCATAACTCATTAGCATAACTTATTTGCATATGCCACGCCCCCTGACATCACCGGAAGTGACAGAAGGCCACACCCCCTGACATCACCGGAAGTGTGTCAGAAGGCCCAGCTACTTACCCTCCTGCTTCATCCTCATTCCCAAACGGAATGAGGATCGAAGCAGAGGGCGGGGTAAAGAAGGGGGCGGGGCTTCACCACGTGACCGCCCCGCCCCCTAGAGGTTCTCTTCCGGAGCTCCGTACCTGAGAGCTCCCCCCCCGATTAGAGCCCTGCTTATTCTGAGCGTCAACAACCTGCAATGGAACAGCTTACCTGGGTAGTGTTTGCCCAACTGATCCAGTAAGGTTTCCTGCGTCACGACCACGTGAGCTGCGTTCATATCAGAGATAGCGCAGCACAAGACTTCAGCCAGAGGAACAAACTGTGACTGCAGTACGGGATTCATGTGAACCGGAGAGACGTCGCCTAAGAAGAACACAAAGGGGGAAGAGAAATGAGCACTCTGCTTCGAATATGTTGTTCCTTTTCTCTCAGTGGCACTCTCAAAATGCTGGCCTCTTTTACAGTTAACCTGAGCAAGTTGGTGGTGGGCAAAAGACCCCACAGCAGTGTTCAGATACTTAAACAAACACCCACCCAACCCACAGCAAACAGAAGAATGGGGTCTCCAGAAGAGTAAGCAAATATTCTTGTTCAAAAGCCACATAATGTCCCTGAAGAACAGTAGCTGCTAGAACCACACTGGAGGATTGTTTGAATTTTTGAATTTTTAAGAGGGAAGTTTCAACCACTATCTATACTAGGAAAGTGGGTATGCCGCATACGAAGCCATTATGAGGGGGATCCACTGCACATAAACACAAAGAGAGGGAAGCAATCCCCGCCCCCGCCCAAGTGCCTTTCCCAGATAGGTAGGAACCAGAGTGTCGCCACAACAGAGATCAGCCTGCAGCAGCAACTCCCAGTCTTTAGCTGGCCCTCCGGCTGAAGTCATACGAACATAAGAGAACATAAGAGATGCCAATGTTGGATCAGGCCAAAGGCCCATCCAGTCCAACACTCTGTGTCATACAGTGGCCAGAAATACCAGTGCCATCAGGAGGTCCACCAGTGGGGCCAGGACATTAGAAGCCCTCCCACTGTTGACCAGCCCAAGCACCAAGAAGACAGAGCATCACTGGCCCCAGAGCCCCTATCTATACCTTGTGGCTAATAGCCACTGATGGACCTCTGCTCCATATGCTTATCTAATTCCCTTTTGAAGCCGTCCATGCTTGTAGCCACCGCCACTTCCTGTGGCAGTGAATTCCAAGTGTTAATCACTCTTCGGGTGAAGAAGTACTTCCTTTTATCCGTTCTAAGCCGACCGCTCAGCAATTTCATGGAGTGCCTACGAGTTCTTGTATTGTGAGAAAGGGAGAAAAGTACCTCTTTCTCTACCTGCTCTTTCCCATGCATAATCTTATAAACCTCAATCATGTCACCCCTCAGTCGTCGTTTCTCCAAGCTAAAGAGCCCTAAGCGCCTTAACCTTTCCTCATAGGGAAAGTGTTCCAACCCTTTTATCATTCGAGGTGCCCTTTTCTGCACTTTTTCCAAAGCTATAATATCCTTTTTAAGGTGTGGTGACCAGAACTGCACAGAAGTCCAAAGGAAGAGAGGAGGGACAGAGCTCAGCGGCCATCTGCCTGCAGGAAGGCATCCTCTGGTCCAGCCTCTCTTCTCACACACACAAACCCCAATCATTCAAGCTGTGAGCCAGGAATTTGAAAGACCGCAGAAGAGGGGAACGGGAGCTTCCGATGAGGCAAACTCTTCTACCTCCCCTCCAAGCCCCCCCCTTTGCTTCCCTACTGTGGATGAACTGTTTTCCTGCTGATTATGTTGATCCCAAGAGAGCCATGCAGAGCAGATGCCCCTTCGGTTTCATTTCTCATTGCCTTTTGAGATCCAGCTGTTTTTAAAAACATGATTGCAACTACCAGGATGTGATTTCTGAAAAAGAAACCAAAACTGTTTTGTTAGCCCTTCAGAATTCTGTGCATTGGGAAAAAAGTGGTCTAATAAAACACTGTTTTGCATCAAAACCCTTATGTGCCACCCCAGAAACAATCTGAATAATAAAACACCATCATCACTATGCAAAAGCCACTGCGTTTGCTGTTCACTGTCGGCGTGGAAATATATTTGTTTTGGAGCATGGGAGGCAGCACGATTACCATTTTCGTGCTATAACTTTTCAAGGCAGTCACTGCCATAAGACAGAATTTTGCAGCTGCTCCTCATGCAGAAAACTGTCTGCTCTTAAAGAACGGCAAAGTGTTGTTCTTGCGTGTGTGTGTGTGTGTGTGTGTCTGTGGAATAGTACCATTTGGACTTTCTGCTTCACGCACCAAAACCTCTTGGGCCAGGCCTGATGGAGCCATGACCCACCAGAACCATCCCAAAGTCTGAGCTTAGGAATCTACTTTATTGTCAAGATAAGACAAATGAGGAAACGGTGAAGATGAGAAAGCTGCAATTATGAACAGGCTGTCATGTGCCAAGGCTTAAACTATGATTTGTATCTACACATGTTTTTGCATTGCCCTAGGCTTCAAGGATGCAACTGGCTCTTTCTGTATAATGTGGGGGTGCAAACAGGAACTGTGTGTTAAATCCAGTACCACAGAGTCATTTTCGGTGGTGGGGGAAAGTGCTGTCATGTCGCAGCCAGTTTATGGCAACCCCAAAGGGTTTCCGAGGCAAGAGACGTTCACTGGGGGCTTGCCATTGCCTGCCTCCACATAGGAGCCCTGGACTTCCTCGGTGGTCTCCCACTGAAGTAAGAACCAGGGCCGACCCTGCCTAGTATCCAAGAGCGGACAAGATCAGGCCAGCCTGGGCCATTCAGGTCAGGGCATAGTTGTGCCTATGCTACCAAAATAAACCTTAAAAAAAAAAAGACATCCACCATAAAGAACAGCTGGAAAGAATCCACCTGCGAAACAGCACAATGTTTATAATGGAGAATTCTCAGAATTCCTATAAAGCTATAAACTGCTACTTAAAGCAATTCCATACTCCAAGGATCTTCCTCCCGGCCACAGGACATGAGGAGCCATAGGGTACATTGCAACCACGTACAGAGGGGAGGGGGAGATGGATACCCCCACAGCCAGTATAATGTGCACACCCAGAAGTGCTGGAATGAGACATAACAACCAGTACAAATGTTTGCACAAACACGATCTACCGGATTCTGCAGAAAGACATGCTGATTCAAATGCTTAACACATTCTCTCTTTCTTCAATGGCCTCCGTCCCTGTCCAGTACACTGGGAACGTGCCTGTGTGTGAAGGTGCCGTCGAGTCACAGCTGACATATGGTGACCCCTTATGGGGTTTTCAAGGCCAGAGATGTTCAGAGGTGGTTTGCCATGGCCCGTCTCTACGTCGTGACCCTGGACCTCCTTGGAGATGTCCCATGTCCCAATACTGACCAGGGCCGACCCTGCTTAAGCTTCCGAGATGTAACGAGCCTGGCCCATCCAGGTCAGGAGAACATACACATTGCAATGTTTTAAGAGAGAGTGCAAGACTTTCTGTGAGATATCTGCACAGTTTCACATGAACCAATAGCACCCCGGTTTAACTTACGGGGCAGCCTGTTAAAACAACTGAGCCAGTCTGTTGTTTGTATTTTCTCCTCTTACAGTTGGGGGGGGGGAGCTTGAAGAATATTTATCTTAAGTCAACAAAATAAGAGCACCTTTTGAGTTAGTTGTTAAGCAGTTCTTGACCTCTGCTTTACAACTTGCCGCGATTATGTTTAACAGAATGAATTGCATCCAGAGAAGTTCCTAAGAACCATTTCCTCGGTGACGTTGCTAAGCTACTACCAGCAGGTGTGTAAATCAGTGTCAGCTTGCTTTGTGTGGTGCAGGAGAATTCAGGGGGAAGCACTGCATACAGTACATCCTTTGGGCTCCTTATTGTAAGCAGAACAGCTCCTTTCACAGTCCTTCACAAAGCACACCTTATGGGGGGGGGGATTTTACTTTGCCTATTGCCAGTTCTGCAAAGTTTATTCTCCAGAGAACACCAAGCTGCTAAGCCAAAGGCAGACTGTCACAGACCCATCCAGTGGATTTGTGAGTTCATGAGGATGCTTCGCTTCTCTTCGTGTATCTCATGTACACACTTTTCGAGCCCCTTACATTTTCGGTTTAAATGCTCAGGAGGGCCAGTCTTGAGATGCCGGGGCTTATTTTTTGAGCAGTTACGTTTTACTTAGCATAAGGAATAAAAAGGTCACCATCTTTGCCTCCCTGTCCGTGTCCAGAACTAATTCTGACTGCAGTCCAATAATTAATTTTTTTGAAAGATATAAACAGAAACTATGTCCATCAAAAATGGAGGAACTCCCTGGAAATTGGAAGACATTGCTGACAACACAATCATCACTGAGAGAATACATCAGGTTTTTTAATATTCTCAAGACAGCATGATGACCTTTGAGAACTAAGGAAGCTAAAAGGAGAGCTCCTCCACAAAGCCTGCCTCCTACTGGCACAGGCATAATGTGGAAGAATTTGAGCGCATTCCTCACAAATTTGGCTTATGTGGAACCAGGTGCCAGACTGATTGACTCAGCACTTCAACATAGACTGCACAATGTTTCATTTGATTTGCCACAAATGACCCAAGTCCTTGGAGTTCTGCCCCTCTAGACACAGAAGAGGTGGGAACATGCCCTTCAAAAACGCCCCGATCTTCCATCCCTGCCTATCTTGTGCTACTGTTTTGCTGGCTTCTCTATAATCGCCGACAATTTACTATTTGGAAATATTTTTTGTAAATCCAGCGTCTCCCCATATCAGAGAGATTCCAAAACCTGGGGGTAGGGTAGGGGGGAAAGAGCATGCAAGGAAGAACTTTTCAAAGAGGAGCAACTGAAAATGAGAGCTACATAAAGAGCATCAACAAATACTTTTCTGCCTCCGCAAATCCAGGCTAAGGGCCTCAACCTTTTCCCTTTTTGCATATAAAAACACTTGGCCAGGCAAGGAAAAGCTTGCTTGCCATATCACTTCTACAATTCCAAGAGTCCGGAAGAGCATTTCATGTGTTCTTTGAACTATGCACTACACATGCTCTGTTGCTTCCCTGTGGCTTTTTTTCTGCTCCTCTCACAATGCCCACTGGGCAAGGACAGCAGCTAGCAAGGACAGCAGCACTTTCTTTAGGGAGATGTCTTACAATGCTACGCACCATAGGTCCAAATGTGCAGTGTGGTGAAAGGGTTGCCCTCTAGAAACCTTTCACCACACTGCAGAACTGGATGCACAGCCCTCTCTCTCCCCATAAATAGCCCTTTAAGCTTGACAGCTTGGCTCACGTATCTAGTAATCACTGGCGGGCTGCCAGCCACACCACAAACATAGCACTTACCATTCTGTTCTGCAGAAATGAAGC